TTCATTCTAGAATGAAAGAGGCATAATTTATATTTATCTCTTAATTTTTTATGGTTGCGAGATCGGTCATATCTACCGAACCCATACAGAGATTAATTACTGAAAATAACAGATAAAATACAAAGTTTTTTCTTAAGAAATGTTTGATAACTATCCCAACATTATAAAGATTACACATGTGAAATTTCAAAATTTTCTGATGCATAAAAGTATTTTTAATCTTAAAATGAATATTACTTTGGATGACAGATAAGCAACATGCACAAAGAAAAAAAAGGCATGAGAAAAACATTGCTTTATAAACCTTAAGACTAATAAAAAAATTGATATTTTGTGTGTGAAAGCATTATAATATTTACTGATAATCTGCCAAATTTAGTTAACATTTGCTTACTAATTTAAAAGTTATAGCATGAAAACTATAACAAGTACAAAATGTTTACGAGGTCGGTCCCAGGGACTGAGCCCATGTTGAAAGAGTTATCCAGATCAGAATTAATGCAGTCATCTTGTTTGATCTCATTTCCAATTATTAACTGATCAAGATATGGATTACTGCTTAAATCTTTGTTAGTAAAAACCAAAGAAAAAGCAAAATTTAATAACCCAGCCATCTCGTAATCATCAGATACTAGTCTTCCTTTGTCATCCTTCAGGGGTCCTATCTCTATCCTAACATTTTGTTTACCATTAATGTATTTAAAAAATCCTTACTGTTCATTTTTACATTTTCAGCCAACCTTTTCTCATACATCCATTTTGATGTCCTAATTTCCTGTTTCACCAACTTTCTTGATCTTCTAAATCTTCTGTCATACCAGTCGATTTAAATTTCTTAAATTTATGATGCTTTTCTTTAATTTTATTCCTTAAACTCTTTGTGAGCCAACCTGGTTTTTTACTTATAGCTACCCTATTCTTTCTATAAGAAATATGTTTACCTTGAATATTTAAAAATTTATCCACATCTGATCAGTGTCTCCAAATAACTCAGCTGCCAAATTCACAACAGATAATTCTTGTCACATCCCTTCAAAATTTGCTTTTTTGAAATTTGTAACCAAAATATCATTATTCCTTATTTCAGTATGGAGCAAAACATTGAATCTAACAGAGCAATGATCACTTGCACCCAGATGTTCCCCAATTTCTACCCTCTCTATCATTTCTGTATTTGAAGTTAACGATAACTCTAAAATAGCATTGTTTCTAGTTGGTTCCTTGACTAACTAGTGAAGAAAGCCATCCTGAACAGTTTCCAAAACCTTTCTCCCACATGGTTTGACTCTAGAGTTTTCCAATCTATATGCTTGAATTTAAAATCACCCATAATTATTACTTCATTAACAGCTGAAATCTTAATCTCATTGTAAAGTTTCTCGCTAATTTCATCAGTATCATTTGATGATCTGTATTTAAAGAAATTAACAACTGACATGATTTGTTGATTGAGAAATTTATTACAGTTTTTTTATCCAAATTTTTTTACAAATAGGTGATGCAAGTATTTTTATATCATTATAGATGATGATGCCAGAGGAGAAGTACAAATATGAAATCATGGCTAAGGAATATAAAGAAAATAAGAGAGGAAGAATGGAAGGAAAGTACACGTGTGATGGTTTTCTGATTGATGTAAGACACTTTAATTAATTATATCAGACTTATGGTATAGAATATATATATTGCTGTAATTTTACATGTACATTATTGTTGTGATGGGTTTTATTGCTTGGGAGGTTCTTTTTGATTACTCAGTAAAAATAATGCAAAGTCCTGTCCACTGATTTCTTACTAGTTATTTATTTCTTCAGTAATGTTTTACAGCCTATGTTCTCTTCTAGGCCTACCCTAACAGATAACATTTTGACAGAAATTCTGAACTAATGATTAATGATAATGTTATGACAGCAGAAGTCACGTGACGCTGATAGCGTGTGTGAAATTTCTTGAATGATCGGGAAGGCCCGAATGCAATCGAGACACTCCCTTTGTTAGTATATAAGCCTGGCAGAGAAGCCAGCGATAAATAGATAATTAAAGAAGCGAACAGTAGTGACGGCAATATAAAGTGTGTGTTTTGTACTAGTCAAGAGCGAAGTTATCAAGATTGTGAATCACTGTGATTTATAGTGTGTATTATAAAAGTTGTTAAGTTTAAAGTGACGAGAAACATGCTGATTGTGGAACTACCATGTACTAAAAGTTTGTATCGAAAAATAATAAACTGGCTTAATCAAGAAAGGATTTGTATCGCTGAAATTCCTCGGAAAGAATTTCCACCGAAAATTAACAAACAAGCAGATATGTAACAATAACCTAACTCAGAAATAAAACTCAAGTACGTTACTTATTAAATTCCTCTTGTATGGATGATGCAACTTAAAACTAGCTGACTAATACACTCAGTAATCGATCAATAACACAATAACAGATACAGTAACTGATGAAATGGATCACATACCTACTTTCATGCTAAATCAGAATAACAAACTGACTAATTCACTTACTTTAGTTTTTTATTCTTGTTTTCTTCATGAAGCCTTGATATGTTGTGTCATCATTACTTAGTGCTAAAAGCCCCTCTAGTGAATAAAACATCTAAATCATAGATGACCAGCTGATGGCCTGTGAAGATATTTCACCTGGCTACTGTTTTTTGTTTTTAATTGTATTTATTTTGGCAAAACTGGCACAATGAAAACAGAAGAAAAAACCATGACCAAGCAAACCAGTCCTATGATGGTTCTGATAACTTTCTTCAAATGTTAACTCTGCTTTAATAAACCAGGATGAATTAAACTTTAAATTAAGAAACTATTCTCAACATACTATATCTGGTTATATAGTTTTTGACCACAAACTACATTCTAGGCTAGAAACTAACCCACAAGCATAAAAGAAGCTGTCCTTTCCTGATCTAAATTAAAATATCAAAAAGAGCATTACTTATAGTCTCATTTGTCTGCATATAGAGGTAAAGACACTGTTAAGAAGTGGTGATAAAAAAATGTAATTGTTTGGGATTTACAAAATTTCAAAAATTTTATTTTTAAGACCACATTGTATTAAAAATTAATAATATGTAAAAATCTTTATTGTTCAATATATTATGTTTTCCTAGCAGTTTAATTTTAATATTGCCATGCAAGGACACCATTCATTGTTAACTGATGCTTTGCTGTCATTGAGTTCTCTTTTGGTTTTCCAAGGATTTACGATAATGTGGTTGATTATGCAATCTTTTGTAACATAGTTTAAATATTGCTGCAGCCAGAACAGAATAAATTCTCTCCATCCACATGGAACACATCCTTCCCAGATTTTTTAACTCAGTCATCAGGCTAAACCAGATTATTTCTTGGGATAAATATGGAAGCTGCACTCACAAAAGCACATGTGGGAACAGAAAAGCCTTGCTCCAGCCTGAAACATACCCGAATGCTATAATCTTAGTATTTTATGCTTTTAATGTTGTTTCTTTGCTTTATTTTTTAAAACTAAAGTTTAAAAAATGTGTAATATGTAATTCAACAATCTCAAAATGTAAAATCGTGAAATGGGTAAATAATTTCATAGATTTAATGTTACCACACATCCAATGTGTAATTCTTGTGAATGATTAAGATTTTTTAAGACTTGAAGACTATAAAATTTGGTGTACATGTATATGGTTTGATTTGATCACTGTCATACTAAATTAATAGCTACAAAACTTAGTAGAAGACAGGATTAAGGTAGTTTGTACAAGTGAAGTAACTACTTAGACTGAAGAACTTTATTCTGTTAATGCATCAATCAGTTTCATTTTAGGAGTTAATGAAAGAAGAAGAAGAAGAGCAGAGAAAAGAGCAGAAAATGCTCAGACATATAAAGATGGTAATTGAACAGATGGGGAGTCCACAAGGTAGGGTATATTCATTTGCAATGAGTTGCTTCCAGTTATTAAGGTTGGACTCTTTTGTATGACAATACTTGTTTTCATTAATTCAGATGAATCTTTGTATGCATTTATTCTGTGCCATTGATAATGAAGGTAATGACAAAACTGATATCATTGCTACTAATCTTAAGAATTACCAGTATAAATATGAACAAAAATATAGTGATGCATCAAGATATGTTAGAATATCAAAATGCACTCCCATATTGTTACTATTCATTCAGAAGTGGAACATTTAAGTGTGTTCTATTGAAAATTTTAAGACTTAATTCCATGGTAAGTTAGTCTCTCTTGATTAAATGAATATATTTTAGCTCTTTCCCTCAAATTGATTGTGTGTATTAAACTGATGAACCTTGTATTGGTGCTTCTAAAGGCACACACATACTATATATAAATATTTCGAAAAGTAGTATAGTAGTTTATCTTTTTACTTGCCCCCCTGAATTTACTTAAAATGGCATAAGGAAAGGAGCTCATGTATCTTTAAAAAGAATAATTTTTAGATATAATATTGGTAATGTGAGTATTGAGACATAGTAGCCCACCAACTTACACCCATCTCTACTTATTTTGGTGCTGGAGAAGTCAATATAATTTCTCAGTCCATTTGAAACACAAACACAGAACTACAGGTAGGAAAATATATAGTTAATGTAAAGTTGAAGAACCCAAAAGGGTAAAAACGGAAAATTTTCTAAGTTTATTTAATATTGTATTTTGTATCATCATGTCAAAATATAATTTGTTTTTTAATCTAGCATTTATACACTTTTTTTGGTGCTGATATTTCCCTAAAGTAAAGATTGTATAATATTATACCCAAATTCACCTTTCAGAAATTTGAAAACTGAACAGATATATTTATCTTGAGACTAACATTTTGCATAGAAGTAGTGTAATTAGCATCATAAAAAGGCAGGTAAAATGTTGGAGAAGGTCAGAATACATTTTGATGTACCACAAAAAATGGAACTCAAAATTTCTGAATGTCCTTTACTTATTGGCATATATATCACCCATAGTACCCCACTCTCCTATCTTCCATGTGACGTATTATGCATGTGTAAGTGGATATTTCTGTTCCTTCATTTTAGGCCTAACTTACACAATTTGCATGTAGTGTGCAGGTTGAAACTGTAAGTGCATTCTCAGCATTGATAATTTCATTTATTCCTAGTTTTGTATATTGATATTAGTGTCAAGTATATTGTATGTGGGGATGCTTAATTTATGTGGCATTCACAATTTTTCTTTGTGTGATGATGGTTGTTTTTGCTGTAGAGCTTATTTTGTTCACCACAGAGCCAACCCTAATCATAAACTGGTCTCAGTTTCTTTTACTCTCAGGTGTGTCCTGTATTTTCAGTTTTGAATCTATTTCAGTGAAGCTTGTAGGTGCTTGTATCATATCAGATGATTTCCATAATTGAATTTTTATTCCTTCCAACTCTTTATTTTAAGATTGGTAATAGTTTTGGGAATTAGATCAGTATTTGTACTGCATGCTAGCACTTGGCTTGTTTTGATATATAATTCTTGTTTGCACCATTTTCGTTATTTTTGTTCTCCTGGTTCTTTTACTCAGAATCACAATATCTACTTTGATATACTTACATGTCTCTTAATTCTATCACCAAATGGCTGTTATATTCCTTTGACACATTTGCCTGTTAGGAGATGTTGCAAAGTGCTCCAATAATATATTCATATCTTTCAAAAAAAAATCTTCATTTTTGTCTTTGCAGGTCTTGAACTTGTTGTCCACTCAGAGGAAACTTACCAAAGAGATGATCAAAGTTTTAGCATCTGGCTTTAGCTTTTGGTCATCATTCCATCCTAAAGTCATTTGTGTAATGTTTTTTATTATATCTACTCATTCTTATTAGTTTAGCATCCTTCAGTGGGTTGTGTAGTTCATTAGCTATGAGTTTTTCTCCTTCTTTTATGTGAGTATTACGCATCATAATATCCAGTAGGGTGTGGAATGTTCTAGATCTCTCTTGAGATATAAATATGCTTTTGAAATGTAGTTCAATAGAGTTAGATCTAGTCTACATGATTGTGAGTTTAACCACAAAGAGCGTATAGTCGTGATTTTAAAGTGGAAAAATATTTTGTCTTGTCAAATTGTATTCTAGAAAAATTGAACCAGCCTGTGTGGAATTTGACAAAAAAGAGACAATTGTTTAAAGCACTGAATATAAATGTGATAACCAACACTGTAACTAACATTTGTATATACATTTGACTTGTTTTAATATATTATTTTTAAATAAATAGAGTGTGTGCTGTTTGTTTATTGTTGAAATTTATCACCAACAAGTCACAGACACTTACTGTATATAATCTGGCCCATACATACAAAACCTGACAATGGATCTATAGTGGTAGAAATAGACATAAACAACAGAAACAAATAGACACACAGCTGTAGTGGTAGTGAAAGTATTGTAGAGGTCACTACCACACTATAAAACTATGTCAACTGACTTTGATAAGTAGATAGAGAGGGGCAAGCAACTTGGACTCAAAGATGGTGATCTACAGGGGCTTGTTAAACAAAACCTAGTGAAAGAAGAGCATCAACAGAGAAGAGAGAAAGAAGAAAATGAGAGAGAGAGGAGAGGCTGTAAGTAGAGAGAATAAGAGCACAAATTGAGATTGCCAAGCTGATCCAACAGAAAGACAGAGGACCCAAGACAAATGGGTCAGGGCCAATATGGGTGCTTTCCTGGAGAGGTATGAAAGATTTGCCTAAAGACAGAACTGGGACAAAGGCAACTAGGCAGTCTGTCTCAGCCTTCTTCTGACAGAAGGCCTACAAATGTATGCTGGCATGATGTCTGTAGATGTCATGGACTATGACAAGTTAAAAGTGGCCTTGTTGAAATGGTATGAAGTTACTGGGGAAGGTTTAATCTTCACCAGAAGTTTAGAGAAATCAAACCTGAAACTGGAGAAACTGTATTTCAGTTTGTGGCACATCTATGGTAATACTTCACAAGGTGGACTGGCATGGCCAAGAGTGAAGGTAGTTTTGAAGAACTGGCAGATCTACTAATATGTGAACAGTTTATGATCACATGCTCCACTAACATGTCATTGTTCTTAAAAAAGAGAGCATAAAAAGATGTGGACAAGATGATCATTCTGGCAGAATGGTATATGAAAGCTCATGGATGGAGTATAACTGGGAAGCCAAGAATAACCAGTCAGAGTCAAAACCAGGGGTGACTGAACAGAAGCAGAAAGCCACCAAAGGTGACAAAAAGGAGAAGAGATGCTATGCCTGTTATAAAATGGGGCATATTGCAAATTAGTGCAAGTCTGTCACCAACAAGCAACGGCAGTAATCTCAACATAAACCAGCTTGAGCTACCTACAAAGATGGTGCTGGAAAGAAACAAGAAAAGAGTGACTTTCACCATGGGTACTGCTACCAGAAAAAACAGAATGAAGACAACTTATCAGATTCACCCTAAGAAAGAAGTACTGTTACCATTATTATACAGTGCATGACTGATGGTCAGCTCAAGTTAGCAAATGGGTGAACAGTGCCAGTAGGTGAAGGCTATGTCATGGACAAGAAAGTCCTATGAAACACTGGGTGCAGCAGTGAGAACCAGTCTAGTATTTGATGGCCAAATGATTGGCAAAGTACATCTGTGTGTGATAACTGATGGGACAGTGACAAAGTTTCCCATGGCAAGAATAAAGGTGGACACTCCGTAATACATGGGCAACCTTGAAGTCATGTGTATGAAGGCACCCATCTACAACTTGGTGATTGGCAATATACCAGGCAGTAGAAGTTTGGAAGAACCAGACAGATAAGGCATCTGTAGTCACCACAAGAACTCAAGAAAAGTAAACAAAACATCAAACTCCTATAAGTCTTAAAAGTGATATCCATAATATGGGTCTACAGGAACTGTAGGAAGCACAAAAGAAAGACCCTTCACTGCAGAAACTTTGGGACAGTGCCTGAGAGAAAGTCAAGCGTAAGACAAAAGGGAAAGGGACTTACAGAATAGAGGACCAGAAGGGAGTGCTGTACTGAATCTATCAGGCAATTCTACTGGGGAAGTTAAATATAGTACCAATAGAGAATACCTGACTCAAGTGATGAAATTGGCTCATGAGTCGATTGTGGAAGGACACCTACGAGCAAAGAAGATGCCAGACAAAATTGCCAGGGGTTATTGGAGATGTGACCAAATTGTGCAGGTCATGTGATATTTGTTAAAGGGAAGGATGAGATGCCTCTCATAGAAGAGCCATTAAGCAGAGTAGCTGTGGACTTGATTGGGCCACTAGCACCTGTATCCGTCAAAAGCAGCTGGTACATGTAGACAGTAGTCAACTATGTGACACATTACGCAGAAGCCATAGCATTGCTGAAGATAGAAATGGAGAGGATAGCAGTAGCCCTCCTAGAATTATTCTGCAGAGTAGGCTTTACAAAAGAAGTCTTGAATGACAGAGGAATCCAGTTTTCCTCAGAACTGATGCAAGATGTGTGCAGACTTATCAGTACTAGGTAGCTCTTTACAACCTCAGATGTAAAGGACTTTGTAAGAGAGTCAGTAGAGTCTTAAAAAGCATGCTGAAGAAGATGTGCCAGGAGAGATTATGTGACTTGGACAACAATCGGGGGTGGGATCACTCTCACTTGAAAATGTCAGTGATCGTATTCATAGTGAGATGGTGACATATATTCGGATCTGTGGTAGTCTTTTGGGGGCTCTGAGGCTGCAATTGTTTTAGACTATTGGATTTTCAGTGCCACTTTGGGACAGTGGTAAGTTTGGGTCTTGCAGTGCTGGGGTCCAGGGTTCGATTCCCAAGGGTGAATGCGGTAGATGGCCCACAATTGCTTTGATCTAACAAAACAACTTACTTTACCTCACAAAATGCTGTGCCAATCAATCAGTGGTAATCAACACAGTCTTTAAATGACC